CTCGGAGTCGCAGTCGCAGTGTCGGCACAGGCGGCACAGTGAATTCCAGACACAAAATGACTATGAAATCGATGAAGTACTCCGATTGTGATACCATCATGGATGGCTACAATCCGGTGCCGCCGCCCCTGCCCCGCCGAGTGCCCCCCGTGCGAAATATCTACGCCGAGCCCTTTGCCCACGAGCCCAACCATTCCAGCAGGTAAATATCGAAAGAGAAAAAAGGTTTTTCAAATTTCCCCAAGCAAATTTATACAAATTGATTTAGGTTTAGGGTCTAAATATAGGTTTTAGTTCATTTAATTTGAGTTTTAAATATTTAGGGATTTAAAAAGAGGGAAAAGGTGGGATTAAAGACGAGAATTAAATATTTAATCTTAGTTTTCAATGTTGAGGTATTAAAAAATAAGAAAAAGTGGAGGATTAATATGAAAATTAAATATTTAAAAAATATATAAAACTTTTATATATTATAATATATTTTATAATTTTGAGGTATCAAAACATGAAAATTAAATATGTAATGTTGGTTTTAAATGTTTGGGTATTCAAAAATAAGGAAAAGTGGGTGTTAAACATGGAAATTAAATTTTTAAAATATTTAAATCCTTTTCATATATTTCTTATATATTTTATACATTTCGAGTTATCAAAACATGGAAATAAATATTTTAAATATATATACAACAGTTCATATATTTTAATATATTTTATAATTTTTGAGGTATCAAAACCTGGAAATTAAATATTTAATGTTAGTTTTAAACGTTTTAGGTATTCAAAAGTAAGAAAAAGTGGGAAACAAACATGGAAATTAAATATTTAAAATGTATATAAACTTTCAATATATTTTTTTAATATATTTTATACATTTTGAGGTCTCAAGTTTTTCTTAAAGTGCTTTATTTCACCTGCAACTAATTGCAATTAAGTCGAGTGTCATCGCGCGAATTTACGGCGCCATCAAAATGCCACAGACAAAGTCAAATGGCGATTAAGTGCAGCAGTAGCAGTAGCCAGGGGTCAACTCGGGTCAACTAAATGGCCAATTGCAATTGCAATTGCAAAATTCTTGATAAAATCATTGGTAAAATATTGCCTCGGATTTAGGACTTAATTAACATTCAAGTCCCCGGTCTGTTGAGCTTAAGTTTTTCGTTGCGGAAAAGCAAGTGGAAAGTGGAAAGTGGAAAGTGCAAAGTGCATTTCTGGAAATTAATATTTAGCCAGTAAAGGAGCTTAGACACACACAACGCCAATTTTGAATGGGAAAGCCAGGAAAACGGAGACAGGCTGGGAAATCAAATGTAATTTCAAGTGAAATGCCTTCAATCATAATTAAATGTTTCCATTATTTCAATTGTAGAACATGTCCGTTTGTCTGCCTGTCTGCATTTTGCAAAGAACAAAAGTAATTTGCAAAGGCAGAGCAAAGCTAAAGGTTATTATTACTATTTTGTTGAAACCTAATATGAGCAACTAAATGTTTGGATTAATCAATGTAAAGCGCTCTGAAACTAATTGGACAACTGTATTATGTATTATTCATAAACAAATTGTGTCTGTGTCAATTATGATTCCCTCCTTTTCCCCATTAGCAGCAATAAATGCTCAATTTTAGTGTTGGCTTAAAAAGTAGTGTTAACTTGCCAATTAATTGGATAGTTTACACAATAATTGTAAAACTCAATTGGGGAAACAGCCCCAAGGGGATCCGCCCCGGTAACTTTGAGTGCATTATCCTGGGAATACGATAAATATGTATATCCCTGTTTGAATTCGGTGTCATTAAACCGAGTGTCACCATAAGGTGTTGCTTTGTTCGAGGCACAGAGAGAGTGAGTTTCATTTGTGAAAAACTCCATTCTTTGGCGCAATCATCGCCAATTCAAACGCAAGAAACTGGAACACAATTGCAATAAACGCACGCCTCGCTGAGTAGCTCCTATATTTTTTTCCAACATGCCACAGTGTTGCATATTAAAAAAAAGGGGGAAAAAAGAAAATATCCGAGTTTGTGTGGAGGCGAAGAGCAGATGATAAAGAAATGTCCCATATAAAGCGGCGTGAGTCGAGTGTACAATATGCATTTTCATATCTGAATAAATAGACAGGCGAGAGGTGCGGAGTTGCGGAGTTGCTCTTCTTCTCGTTGGAATATAATATATATATATTATAAATATATATTTCTATATGTATATGGCCCACAACAATGCCCCAAGGAGGAGGGTGAAGCCCCGTAACGAGGCAGACAGATGGAAGAGCTTACGAGGACGAAAACGAGGATGAGGAGCAACAGCAGCGGACAAGTGGTAACCAACAGTCAGCCAACTGATACAAGAGGCTGTCTGCACACTGCAAAAAAAGAGTCCAATTCAAATGGTTATAAAAATTCGGGGAAAATGAAACTAGATTCACAGCACTTAAAGTGCCTCTTTAGCATTTTATAGAATTCTAAAAGAGTTTACCAATTTAACTGCAAAACATAGATCTGAAAAAAGGTTCTTCAAACGGTTAAATTAAAAATTAGCAGTTCGTTCTCTCCCTCTCTTTCATACTCCTCGCTCCCTCCCGTTCTCTCTCAGAGCTTCGCCTGCAATGTACTAGTAACAGCAAACGTAAGAGTTTATTTGTTGCTTCTCCCTGAGAGTATTTAAAATGTAGATCTAAATAATTTTACTCTCTCTTCTTCACTCTCGTTCTCTCTTCAAGGCTTTGTGTGCAATGTACAAGCAATAGGGAGCAAGAGAGTTCCTCGTTTCTCTGTAAATCTCAAGAGACTCCCTAAGCTTCCCTCAATTACCTTTTCATGTGATCTTGAGAAAGATCAATATCCTCTCTCTCTCTCTGATTAATACTATTACTTTTTCTCACTGTGAAAAACAAATAACAACAACAACAAAATGAAATGGGCAATATGGGCGTGGCTTTGGCTATAGCTTTTGGGTGGTTGGTTATTTTGGTAGTGTGGAGCAATATGTTTGCCTGTCAGTTTCATGCATTTCATATCGAAAACCATTCGTACTTTTACTTGAGTGAGTTTTATGAGCAACGAGCCGAGCCTGTATGAGGGGATACACACTCACATATGAGTATGAGGATGCTCCACTGGCTACATTGTGTTGTATCCTTTTTCTCCTCCTCCTCCTCCTGCGAATCCCCCTTTCCGTTCAAAATGGGATAGTAGTGTGGATTGTGGCGGGGATTTTTCGAGAACACGGTTGAAAAGCAGGAAGGACCAGAGGAGCAGAGTGTTCAAAAGGACGACATCAGTGGCCCCGTTTATATGCATAGTTTTTGGCTGCTCTGCGATTGCAAACTGCGAAGTGGGTTAGATTGTGTGTTCCGCTGGCTCTGTGCCTGGGCACGCTTTCCTTTATATTAAATGAAAATTCCAATTACTTTTATGGGACCTACTACCACTACTACGATTACTATGGAAGAGGCGTAACACTTTGCCCTCAAACTTGACTATTTAAGGATAACAAAAGAGAGAGAGAGAGAGATCATATGAAAATGTAGGTAGGGATCTCTTAGATAATTCAGGAAATAATAAATATATATATGAATATAATAACAAATTATTTTATATGTATTCTTATGAAGGTTTTTTTTATGGAATGTATAAAGGTTCATCCATCTTCTTTCTAGATCGAGAGAGTTTCTTAGATATTGGTTAAGTTAAGTTTCTTTAATCAAAATCTACTTTGCTGTACCAAAATCTAAGTATACAGAATTTAAATTGAAACATATAGTAATATTTCTTGCTCTGTGCTTGATTTTATTCCCCTTGAATGTCAAAGTTCCCCCTTCGAATGCAATCAAAAAAAAAAATGTACAATAAATATTTTTCTTTCTTTTTTTCTGCTTCTCTTGTAGGTAAGTTATGGAATACGAATATATGTATATATTATATATATATAAATATATGGAGAGAGAGGAGCCTGAATATTTGAGGAAAGCGAGCTGAATCCTGGAACTGAAAGTGGAGCTGGGGAATTTAATAATTCAAGTGGCCGGTGAGGGCGAAGGCCTCTCTAATGACCTACTTGAAACAAACAACAACAGTGTAACGAAAAGAAAAAGAAGGAAAAGTATGGGTGGTGGTAACACCCACCCACCCACTGAAAACCCCACCCCACTCCACCCACCTATCCGTGTGTGTGTGTGTGTGTGTCAGGTGGTTTGCCAGAAACTTGTTTAGTTTTCGGTTTGGCTTAGTTTGGTTTCAGTTTAGTTTTTCCGTTTTCAGTTTTTGAGTTTCCAGTTTCCCGTTTCCCGTTACCCGTTTCCCGTTTCCCGTTTTCAGTTTTCCATCGAGTTTGTTTTCTATTTACTATTTTCAGTTGCCAGTTGAGTTTTGAGCTTGAGCGATGTTTGACTTGAAGTGCATTTTTTCTCGCAGGATATGCCATGGAAGGTAACCTCTTGACCTAGTCCAATCAATATCCTCTCCCCCCCCCCTGGCAAACATGAGTGAAATGCTGAGTTTCATATAATTTTTCCTTTGGCCAAACAAAGGACAAGTTCCTGGGAAAAAAATCCGCACAGGACCATATCATATATCTGCCATAAACTATACCTCTCTCTCTGATTTTGCTCGTTAGACAACATTTGTTTCGGACAGTTGGCAACTAATTTGTTTTGAAATGGATGTCGAGTGTGTGTCCCAGGGAGGGGTCACTGCCAGCAAATTGAATAAAGAACAACACACACACTCACAAAAAAAATAAGGAAGGGAAAGGCAAGGAAAGGAAAGGATCCCCTGAAATAAGGACAAGACAGACAGAGACAAGTCTGCTCCCTTTTGCTGTAAATATTATGCTAGAATTTTGATAGATTTCAAAATGGGGTTTAGGGTTCGGTTTACCCACAAGATAATGTCCAAGAAATCCAAAGGAAGACTTGTCTTGTAAAATATTTAAAAAGGAAATCAAGTAGACTAATAAGCGTGTTTAAAGTTCCTCCATAAAATACCTTCCTTATAGTTTCTTCCTTTGTTGTATAAATTTATTACCTGAAATGGGGAATATATTTTTCTAGAAACTCATTCAGTTTTAGTATTTGAAATTGGATAATAAACGCTGCTTTAGGTTTTAGCAGTCACCACTTGCTCCGATTCCCCACTAATGCCTGAATTATTATCTTGATTGCCTTTGAAAGAGTTTAATTATTTAAATTTGTTAAATACCAAACTGTTTTCGAACTCACTTGGCAACATCCTCTGCTTGCTTCTCTTAAAATATCGCTGATTTTTCTTTCTGTACAAACTGCGGGAACTACTGGCCCTTGGAGGTGGTGGTGCCATGCTGGTTGTGGCCAAACTGAGATTCTTGCTCGATGTTCTGGCGATGGACACCGATTTACTGGATGTCTGCCAGCGTGGATACAGGGACGATGAAGCTATTGTTGCTACTTCCAAAGACGGACAATTCCCAGGAACCAACTTGCTACTTCCGGGCAGGACACCGGACGATGCAATTGGTCCTGAAACGGAATTACCCGCTAATGTGGCTGCCGTCAGCCGTAGTGCTTCGTTCTCCCGAAAAAGACGATCCCTCAAATGCTTTAAACCCTCCAAATGGGATATTCTTTGCCTCTCCAATTCCTTCATATTGTTTTTAGTACGTTCCAACATATCAAAAACCTTCGCCATGTGGTTAGTATTCTCCTCCTGAACGCGTCGATGGGCTCCGCGGCGAGATGAAGTTGGTTTCGAGCTGGATGCTGTGGCCTCCTCACTTGGCTTGTCCTTTTCCAACGAATCCTTACTGGCCATGGTTTTTCGATATTTAACAGAAGCAAAGAAAGGCAGAGGATGTGCCTGGTGGAATTTTGAATTTAGTATTTTAATGTGTGCTATGGCACTCAGGTCAAGGTCTACGTTGTTGAAACAAATTTATGGCAAAAGTCCTCTGCAAATTGCCGCACTAAATTCAATTGCGATGGCCACTCAAAAGTATATATATAATATAATATATAACATATATAAAATAAATAAATCGGAGTGCGATTTTATGGCCACTCCCAGTGGCCTTTTAGCCACTCTCAAATTGGTTCAACTATTAAAGTGAAAAAGTTTTTCCCCCCAGCTTTTCCTCCATCCTATCTCTCGCTCTCTCTTTCGCTCTCTCATATTTTGGCAGACAAACTTCAAACTATTGTTGTGGCAAGTCAATGAACTGGCAAAATCGCCTAATATTTCCACACTCCACAGACACTTGTCGTGCCTCCTCCTCCCAACTCGCTCTTATTTTTCCAGCTCCTGTTTTGGCTGCAAACAAAAAAGGAGTTTTCTTCCCGGGAAAAGGAGGGAGGAGGGAGCTTCATGTTTTGTGCTCTGAATGGCCAAGTATATTAAAAGTCTATTTCTTTTGGCAAGACAATAAAGTAGCTGCGAGGGCGCCTGGCCCCCACCAAGGGGATGAGATGGTGAAGGACAAAGGCCCCAAGAAGATGGAGTACGAGTAGGAGTAGTTTTCAGCACTAGCTGGACTTTCAGGATCCAGGATCCCAGGACTTTGTGTGGGTGTGTGTGGGGAAAAGTCCTGTCGTTTCTGGATGGCTATTGTTCTACTTCGCGAAATAGCGCACATAAAAGCCAAAGAACGACGGCCATAAATGATAAAAAAGGGGCAACCCAGAGGCGCAGAAAATTGGAAGAAGGGGGTTTATAGGGAAGAGATAGAGTAAAGGCAGAGAAAGAGATAGAGCAAGGGAAAGAGATAGAATGAGAAGACAGGAGGAAACTGAAGCCAAAGTGGGGATAAATGACAGCCAACTGGCAGTCAGACAGAGGCGTGCACCCCAAGGGGGCAGGAGAGAGAGAGAGAGAGAGAGTAAAAAGAAAGACGCAGCAAAAAAAAAGCGTAGGGAGAAGACAGGAGAAACCAATGTAGGAGAAAACTCCCCAAAGGAAATGGGGATAACTAAAGGAAAACCGGGAAGGGGCCCTGGAAAAAAGGCCACTAAAATACAATGAAATGCCAGGCCCGACATTCGACATTTTCCAGGCACCTCAACCCCACTCCCCTACGCCCCTGTCAATGCCAGCATTGTCTACAAGGAAAAGGGTTAAAATGTTTCATTGCCTCGACAGGACTGCGAAGACAACATATGCCAATAATTTACGCAATTTAGACAAAGCAAAAAAAAAAAAAGAAGGAGAAAAAATATAAGAAAACCCAAAATAAAAAACAAGACAAACCGAAAGGCAGACAGCCGAAAGGAAAATTGTGCCCCAAGTAGAAATATTTCCACAAGGCAAATCCATCAGGACATGGGAGGACAGCCAAGAGAGTTGGGTTCCAACCCAAAAAAGCAAACCGAATTGATGCTCAATTTTATATTTTAAATGTTATTCAAATTGTGTCACATTTCTCAGTGTAATGGCTTGGAATTGTCTGCAGAGCAGAGAATCAACCAAAGAAAATGGGGAAAAAGGGTTCCAACCACGCCCTTTTTGCGCCCACTTAACCCCCTTTATGTGTGTGTGTGCGGCTTGTTTTTTTTTGGAGTAAAAGAAAACTCCCCTCAAATCGCTCGCTCGCCTAACCCCCATTTTATTTATTGACTCTCATTTCTCCACCCCAGGGGTTGCTACACGTACTATATATATATATCACTATATATATATTATATATATATATATATATATATGTTTATAGGAAGATATGGTTGGGAAGGATGCCATAGAAATGAGCGATGCTTTGGCGATTTACAATGCGCTAAGTTAATTAGCCGCAGCCAAACGACAACGACAACAAAATACAAAAAGAAGAAGTTGGCCATCGCAACTGACCCTCAAAGGTTGCCAAAGGCAAAGGCAAAAGGCAAAGGGCCCAACGTTTACTTTTGCGGAAATTGCGTCATTAACAGGCGCTTAGTATAGTTTTGTGTGAGATGTATAAATACAATGGGATATATGTACACAGACGTGCTTATAAATATATTTAGATGTGGGTATCAGTACACCTAAGGTTGAGATAATAGGATATTAAGACGATTGGAAGCAGGGATGGCCATTGAAAAATATATAATATCTTCTTTATATTTACGAAGGTTCAAATTTGTACTTTTGCTGAAAATTTAAGTGGAATATGTTAAACTGAACACCCCCTTTAATATTGAATTTCTATTCAAATTATGTTTTCTGCCTAAAATATTAACAAAACTTATAGTTTTCAAACAAATTATAGGATCGAGTAGGAAATCGTTCTTAACGAAGCTTGAAATACTATAAACGTATAAAATATCATTTTTTAATCGATATTATACGATATTTTTATATGAAAATTTTTGTGATAAATCAAAAATTTTAAAATGTCATAACTTAGCTAAAAAAGCTTTAATTTTATTTTAAAAGAAGTCCTAAGCTAATTTTTATTAGGCTAATAAATCTGCATACTCAGTTCAAACTTTCAAAAAATTTAAAATTTTTGCTAAATTTTTGGTCATTTTCATATTTTTATCACCTTAAAAAATGCGAAAAATTAAAAAAAAAATTTTCGTCTTTCGAGAGCTAAATCGATTCTGCTGTTGATGCTGATCAAGAATATATATGATTTATAGGGTCGGAAATGACTTTTTCACATACTAACAATCTTCTAAATATAATTTTAATACCCTGGAATGATATATAAAAAATTTGTTATTTTATTACTATTATCCAAGAATAACTTTAAAAAACTGTAGCTAAATCAGTTTCTATATTTTAATAATTACAATACAGTTTCCAAAATACATTTAGGAAAAGTAAAATCGAAAAAAATATATTTCTAATCCTTTTTCAACACCAAAATGACTATAGTTATGAACGTAATCGTGGGGATATATATATTTATTCCTTCTCCTGATACCCACAAACCTCTCAAATGTTAAGACATTAACCCTAAGACCTTTGATTAATGCCGGCTCAAAAGACACACAAAAAGGGAGGCGAACAAAGCGAAGGAACAAAGTCTCGTAATGAGACTGCCATTTCGATGATATGACATCTTGTTGTTTTGTTCGCTCCACTCGACTGGAGAGGGGAAAGGACTCTTGAAGGACCTCTTTGGCACCCATCTCAATTACAGTCCTTCAGCGTGTAGGAGTCATCTCTTCTTATTTATCTGCACCCAAAAAGAAATAGAACCCAATTCCTTTGGTCATTTCACCTGCCTTGGGGCAGGATCTCCTTAACCTACCTACTACCTTGGGGCTCCCTGCTCCTGCCTCCTTCCTCCTGCTAATGATGTCCAATTCGGTGTTCGATCCGAGCGAGTGTTACCCGGAGGCCAGGTGCTGGTCAGGACAAATGAAAACAAATCCGATTGTGGAGAGAGGTGGATGTGGTGGATGTGGACTACATGACATTTGAAGCACTAAACACAGTACACATCCTTGCTGGCTAATTGGACAAGTGAAAGTGAAATGAGCTCTCAACTTTGGTATAAGAAGGAAGGAAGGAAGGAAGGAAAAAATGAAGGAGGGTAGAAAGGAGCCATTAGATGTCCAAACTAATGGACACTATGGAAAACAAAACATGTCACATAATTGAACCTCTTGTTTTTGATGGAAAGTGAAAAGTAAACCTTAATGAGGAAGAGATTGTTAATATTAGGGGTTCTTTGTTGAAATGTATATAAAGGATTTTTAGGAATAAACACTTACAAGATTTTAGGTAATTAGTTTAAAGAAATAGAGCTTCAATTTAATTTTTCTGGCATTAATATGCTCCGGAATTCGTACTTGGGAATTTTAAGTGCACTTTTTAAGTACATTTTCTTTGTTTGTATTAATATGAATGATTTTTAGGATTTACACGATTTTAGATAGTTTATATTTAAGAAAATGAGCTTCAAATTTATTTTTCTAACAAAATTATGCTTCGGAATTCCTACTTGAGAATTTTAAGTGTACTTTTTAAGTAAATTTTCTGCTTTCAGCTAAAAATAAAGCTTCTTTTGATTACTCTTCAGCTTAGTTTTAGCTTTTGAAATGTATGGCAAACCCCCTTAAAGAAATCTTTAAAAAACATCTAAAGCTAAGCTCCGCTTAACCCCTATTTCTTGCAGTGTAAACAGCTAATCAGAAGCACTCCTGCTCGACTAATGCCAAGTCAAAGGGAAAAGCTCTACGCCACCGCCTTCTTCCCATTTTCCATTTCCCATTTCCCTTTTTTTTTTAAGTTTTCTTTAGTTTATTTTCACGCTTCTGCTGCGTGTCTGTTTCAGTTTCGGTTTCGGTTTCGGTTTCAGTGTCAAAGTCAGAGAGTTCGGGTCAAAAGGCGCATCAATGCTACTGAGCATATTTTGCGGTCGCCTTGCTTTTCCATTTTCCTCACTACTTCTTACTGTTTTTTTTTTACTTTTCTACTACTTTTTTCTGCTGTTGTTGTTGTTGTATTTCTTCTCTTTGGAGAAGTTTTCTGTGTGTGCCATGATGCTGCACAAAAAACTTCCGACAACAATTCTGCAAACGCAAGCAGGAAAACATAAATCTGGCTAAAGCTAAAACGCAAACTTTTATTTAAAAAAGGAAGAGAAAAAAGAGAGTATGAGAAGGAGAAGAATATAACAAATAAAAGCTAAAGAATTTTGTGTGAGTGCGTGCAAGTAATAGAGGGATTGAAATAAAACGAAGAGTGAGTGGGATGAGTTCCTAGTTGGAGTTTCAAGATTAGCTAAGAAGAGGTCTTTAACTTTTATTAAAAACTTGAATTTAAGATAATAAATAATAAATAAATAAAATAATAGGTAAATAAACAAAGTATAAGGCTAATTAAATAGTTTTTCTAGGCCTAGAAAAAATCTATATAATAACTTTATACTTTATACCATTTTAATTTAATAGAAACCTTAAAAATAACTCCCATTTTAGGCCTAAAAAAAATTTAAATAATAACTTTTT